AAAAACACAAAATTAGCAGGGTGTGCTGGTGCATGCCTGTATTCCCAGCTACTCGGAAGGCTGAGTCAGGAGAATCAGTCTAACCCAGGAGGCGGAGGTTGCAGCGCGCTGAGATCACGCATTGCACTCCAGCCTGGGCAACAAGAGTGAAACCCCATCTCAAAAAAAAACAACAACAACAACAAAAAATTACTCAGTCTTGGGTATGTTTTTATTAGCAGCATAAGAACAGACTAATACAGGCTGATTCTTGAGACTGTAACTTCAGGAGAGCAGGACCATGCCTGTTGGCTGTCCATGGCTTCCCCAGCCCCGAGCACAGTGTCCCCCCATAGATTCTCATTAAGAAACCACTGATTAAGGAACAGCCCTGGGGGAAGATGGGACTGGGCCTAGATAGCCCTGAGCTAGGCAGTCCTCACCATACATGATGCCTGTAGAGAGAGAGGAGGTGTGAGATTGCTCCCAGCCAGGAAATACAGGGCGTGATAATGACCCCAGCTTTGGAGTAATACAGAGATGGGGCAGCTGGGGACACAGTGGGAAAGGCTGAGTGAGCACCGTGTCTTCTGGCCAGGCGGGAAGCTGGATACGGAGGTAGGCCTTTGGGAAGGTTAAGAACCAACATGTATTCTTCTGTCTGCGTAAAACAGACCCACTCTCTTCATCAGGGGAACTGCTTTTTCCCACTATGCTTTCCCACCATGGTCCTGGTACAGCTGCCAATCCCTGTGACCAGATCTCCTGGCTGTGGTGTGAGGCACAAGACTCACAACCTCATGCCCTTGGCCACCATGGTTTTGGGTCTTTACAAAGGTATTTTAATGATGCAGGGAAAAGGTTACACTACTTAAGGGAAGCAGCAACACACACAATTGTATAAGTACAATAACCTCAATTGGATAAAAATGTAGTGCGTTTAAAAGAGCTGGAAGGAAATATGGCTTCCTCTGAGTGTGAGATTGTGGGTAGTTTTTCTCTGTATTTTCCAATATGTCATGCCTTACTCTGTAACCCTGGAAGAAAACATTGTTAAAAGCGGGGAACCACCCCTGAACTGCCCCTTAAGAAGTGCGTTCTGCCCATAGGTTGCCGTGGGGCTGCAAGCAAGAGAGCTGTTGGAGAGGTGACAGCCAGAGCTCCTCTGGCCGTGACAACAGAAAGGGAGAAGGTGAACACTATGAGAGAGTTCTAAGAAAGATCTTTGTACAGGACATTTGACCGTTTTGTCTTCTCTTCTCAGAATGTTAACCTTTTCTTTCTTCTAGAACTTTTCCTCAGAGACTATAAACTGAATGCTTGTGCCCCCAGTGTGATGGGGTTTGGAGATGAGGCTTTTGGGGAGTGACCAGGGTTAGATGCCACGAGGCCCTGGTCTGATGTGATGGGAGTGGTTCCCTTCTAAGAAGAGACACCGACCAGAGCATCTGCTCGTTGATGCCCCACCTCCGTGCACACGGAGGAAAGGCTGTGTGAGCCACAGTGAGAAGGCGGACGTCTATAAGCCAGGAAGAGGGTCTGCGCCAGAAACCGACCATCTTGGCACCTGGATCTTGGACCTCCAGCCTCCAGAATGGTAAAAATATACATTTCTGTTGTTTAAGCCACCCAGTTTATGGTATTTTCCTACAGCAGCCCAAGTAGACTAATACAGAGACCCCCACCCAACCCTGCAACTCTCTCCACATAGTCCAGTGGGGCTGAGCCTGGCTCTGTCCACGGGTGAACTGGGCACAGAGTATCGCATCCTCCCACCCCCGCGAGCAGTGATGGACAAGCGTGGGTCAAAGATGGCTCAAGGATGGACACCTGATCCAGGCCAAGTTCGTCAAAGTCAATGCCACTCAGTCCCAGAATTCCTTTTGGAAGTCTTGTGAGAGGCAATTCTTTCTGCTGGGGTTACTACGAGGTTTGGACATACCTGGAGCTCCAGACCACCATCTTTCTGGGAGAATGCCTGCCTGAGAAAGGAGACAACACAGAGAAAGGCACTATTTGAACACCTGGACACAGCCTTGCCTGAATGAAGCCATCCACTCTGCACATTTCAGTTACATGAGCTAATGTTTATTTTTCTGTTGAGCTGGTTTGATTAGGTTTTCTGTCACTTGCAACCGAAAGAGTCTCACTCATACCCAAAGGCAAAACACACATAGTTGCTTTTGAAGTTACTCCAGTAGCCACACCTCCTAGACTTGCCCTTGGTGTTCTGCAGATGGCTGTGAGCTGGCCCTCCTGCCCAACAAGTCAGGCTCCTTTGGGGGGCCTGGGGCAAATCATCACAGCTGCCCAAATTCACTCCTCCCCAACACCTGCTACTTTTTCTTCTTCCTCTGCTCCTCCACTCCCCTTACGTTCTTCCCCCTCTTCTCTGCAGAGCCTGTCTTCTCTCTTGAGGGAGACTTGCAGACAAGTTGAGTCTGAGTGTACAATCTAGAGCCAGACATCCAAGATATCATAAACATCAGACATCAAGTATTCCAGCTGCATGACCTGAGCAGATTTCTTAACCTCTCTGAGTCTCAGACTTTTTTTCCCATAAATGGGGACAATAAATCCTATTCATGGCCAGGCCCAGTGGCTCATGCCTGTAATCCCAGCACTTTGGGAGGCAGAGGCAGGTGGATCACTTGAGGTCAGGAGTTCAAAACCAGCCTGGCCAACATGGTGAAACCCCATCTCTACTAAAAATACAAAAATTAGTCAGGTGTGGTGGCAGGCGCCTGTAATCCCAGCTACTCAGGAGGCTGAGGCACAAGAATCGCTTGAATATGGGAGGAGGAGGTTGCAGTGAGCTGAGATGACGCCTCTGCACTCCAGCCTGAGAGACAGAGTGAGACTTCATCTCAAAACTAGTAATTCCTATTCATGAGGAGTTTAAGTCATGCATGTGCCTGGCCCATCGGGAGTACTCATTAACACTGATTACTATTGCTAATCTTTACCTTCTCTCCCCAGTACACAGCCTAAGTCTACCACTGATGCTCTATAGCCATGGGTGACTTGGAGCACTAAAGAGGCTACCAGACCATGGCCTGCTCCTTGGAAGTCGCCATGAAGTCATCTGCAGACTCTGTGAGTCGATGACTTAAATCCTCAAACAGGGCCCACCCCAATGAAATGCCTGCCTGCTCAGCCCGTTTTAAAGAATATTTACCACCATTGGCAAGGTTCAAAGCAAGGACCAGTTAATGACTACCCCTAATGGGCCTTCAATCTAAGACAAGTTTCAGCTTGCTATGCAAGGAATGGAGCTTCCCTTAGGTGAGATTGCAGCAAACAGCCTCGCCTTGCAAGGAGCAGTTTGGCTTAAGGAATAAGAAACTCATGGGAGCCACACTGACTGTGTCCTGGGTCCCCAGGCTCAGCACTCTTACAGCAGAAATAATGCAGTCAATGCATGGACATTTGCTACAGGTCTCTAGTAAGTCCCATCATGAATTTAGCTTGTGAATTAATTGGAATAGCCCACCCTCAACCATCACTGGGAATGCTATCGGGTTGTGATATATATTATTGGAGCTTTTTCTATTCACAGAACACTCTTCAAAAATCCTGCTATTTGTGTAAAATGTTGAACACCACATGACACTGAGGTCCCATCCCAGCCCACGTCCTTGCATAACTGAAGATTCCCTTGAAACGGCAGGGGAGTTTGTTCAAGGCATTTGGAAGTCACAGAGTACAGGTTTGTGACTGGGGTATACAGGCCCTCGAGCTGGTCCTTCTGTAAGAAAAGGGATCTGAGTGGTGGAATTGGAGCACCTTGTCTGAATCTGACTTTTTTGTAAAGTGCACTGCATAGCATCATCTGTGCAATTGTCTCCTCTCTCCAGGGTGAACTGTAAGCTTCTTGAGGGCAGGATGGGTCCCCTCTGAGGCCCCATATGCTTACCAGCTGAGTATTTTGGCGAACTTCTTTCATTTCCTCATCTGCTAATGGGCATCCTAATGGTTCCTGCTTCATCAGCTGCTGAAGGGATTAGTGACCACTGCCTTCATCCAGCCTGTGTCCTGCAGGGTGTCTGAGTGCTTGACATGCGTGACCTCATTTAATCTGGGCAACACCCCAATGAGATGGGTACTCCTATTATCCCCATTTTACAAATGTGGAAACTGACAGAGAGAGAGCCTAAAGAACTTGCCCAAGGTCACAGATCTACCAAGTACTGCGGCCAGAAATGAAGCCAGGCAGTTGGTCACTGGAACCCAGCTTTCTGACCACCTGTCCCACTGCTCCCTGGTTCAATGTAGAGCAGATGTGGAGATGTCCCATGGCCTCTGCACCCAGCCATCCATCAATGGTAGCCATCTGGCCATTATTTATGTCCTCCACAGTACTCAACACATATCACAGGTTGTCCAATAATTTAACATTTAGTGAATGGCTTAGCACCACTGTTCACCAAATACTGATTGAGTTCCCAAGAGGCACGAGACACTCGCTATTCTAGACACAGGGAAGGAAGCAGCAAAAGACTTACAAAGCCTCTGTCCCCCTGAAGCTGCCACTGCCGGCAGCACCCAGAGAGTCAGATGTAACATCAGACATCACATCATGTCAGAAGGAGACAGGAAGAAACATAAAGCAGCGCAAAGGGAACGACATGGACAGGAGCTGAAAGGGGAAGAATTTGGTTTGTTTGAAATGTGTCATGTAAAATGGGAGGAGAGAGAAAATCCCCAAAGGGAATATATTTGCAAGTTTGTCATACTTTGGTAAAATTAAATACCACCACATAGCAGTGAAAATTATACCAGGGTTTTGAAATGGCAACCAAAAGAGATGGCTGATGAGGTTGCACTGGGGGTTGGAGTGCTTATACCACATCCACTCACCCCGGCTGTCGGAGCCTAGGGCTCAACGTGATGACCAAGGCCAGGCCCCTGCAGGGACTCCCCACATCCTCCTCACCAGTAGCTTAGCTGACTCAGCAAGGGGCCTCTTGGATCTATATTTTCCCTATTTTTGGGTGAGTGGTAAAAAGATCAGCACAGCCTAGAATATGAAATCATTCATCTGTGACCAGCACACAAGAACCCATAACCCCAAGATGGAATCTCAGCAGGGTGACAGTGGAGATGCTGGACCCCAGGAATGGCAGCCAGACAGCCAGACACAGTGAGAAGCTGACCCACACGGCTGTTCACAAGCATGTGACGATGGGGACAGCTTCCCTCGTTGCATATATTATGCAAATGAGGGTGGGAGTTTCAGTGTTGCGGATAGATGAAGAAGAAGAAAAGGGAAGCAAGTCTCTGTGCAATTATATCCGACACTGAGTCACAAGCCACACAAGCCCCTGGCCTGCTGGAGGCTGTGACCTGTGAGCTGATGGCCTGGGCTGGTGGCCTCAGATGCTGCCTCCTGGCTTCTCTGTCTTCGAAGACTCCCAAGAGTTCAGTGGTGACTTCATTAGCGTCCAGCTCCAGTGCTCCCGGGGGATTCAGCTGTGCAGTGTCCAGCTTGAAGTTGGCTAAGGAAATCTGCATGGAGAGCCAGGGCTGGGATTTAAAAGCAACAGAAACAGCAGTTTCTGACTCAGGACTTCCCCTTGGGCTGTAGATAATGTTAAGATGGTCGAGGATCTCACCAGGGGTCCCCTCCCCCGATTCAGGTACCTCACCCTCCCCTTCACAAGCTGATGGGTTGAAAAGACTCCCCGTGGCTCAAGCCTGTAATCCCAGCACTTTGGGAGGCCGAGACGGGCGGATCACGAGGTCAGGAGATCGAGACCATCCTGGCTAACACGGTGAAACCCCGTCTCTACTAAAAAATACAAAAAACTAGCCGGGCGAGGTGGCGGGCGCCTGTCGTCCCAGCTACTTGGGAGGCTGAGGCAGGAGAATGGCGTGAACCCGGGAGGCGGAGCTTGCAGTGAGCTGAGATCCGGCCACCGCACTCCAGCCTGGGTGACAGAGCAAGACTCCGTCTCAAAAAAAAAAAAAAGAAAAGACTCCCCAAGAGGGTAGGGGCCATCCCCATCACTTGCTGTCCCAGCGATCGAGGTCCTTTTGAGCTGGCACCGAGACTGCCTGCAGAAGTCATAAGAGGAAATTGATAGAAACATAGCAAGAAAGCCCAGAGTGTTCAGAAATCATCAAAACACCCCCAAGGAAGTTGGATTTCATGTGCAACTAACAGGCCCATCTTTGTACGCCCTGCCCTGAGGATGGAAGTGTCAGCTGCCATAGCTGAGTCTCTAAGAACGCGTCACGTTTGTCCTTTTGCCTCTAAAAGCTGAGCATGTGGCTCACTTGGCTGTCCCCAAAAGAAATCCTTCTTGACAAGAACATTCTAACTTTATTAGTGAGGCGTTTGGGCCAGGGGTTCTTGGCTCTTCCTCGCCTCGCTGGGCAGTGCACCAGGACCAGCCATGACACAGTGAGGCAGAGGGCTGAGGCCGGCGCTGGACTCTCCAGGAGCTGGTGGGGCTACACGCTGCAGGATTTGTTGATGACATGAAAATGCTCCCCACCACCCCATAAAGGAAACATCAGGGCTCCTGTCCTAGGAGAACCGTCTCCCAAAGTAGATGAGTAAGTTCTGCAGTTTCTAAGCCTGGCCTGGATTTAAGTCCCAGCTCCACCACATTCTTGTTGCAGACCCTTGGGCAAGTTCCTTAACCTCTCTGAGCCTCAGTTTCCTGGTGTTTAAAATGGAGATAATAATAGTACCGACCTCATGTGACCTTTATGAGGACTCGTGGGATAATGCCCGTTGAACTCCAGCCAGAGCCTTTCCTGTTGTAAGTGCCTCTAACTGACCATTAGCCTTACTCAGTCACCCCGGTGAGGGGTTTCCATGTTCTAGCGACTGTGCAGCTGTCATTTATCAAGCTCTCAGCAGCACTAGGAACTGTGCAAAGCACTTTATACACATTATTACCTCATTTAATTCTTTTTTTTGGTTTTGAGACACGGTCTCCCTCTGTTGCCCAGGCTAGAGTGCAGTGGTGCCCCAGCTCCGCAGCCTTGACCTTCCAGGCTCAAGCAATCCTCCTGCCTCAGCCTCCAGAGTAGCTGGGACTACCAGCTCACACCACCATGCCTGGTTAATTTGGGGGGGAGTATTTTTGGTAGAGATGGGCAACCATGTTGCCCAGGCTGGTCTCAAACTCCTGGGCTCGAGTAATCCACCCACCTCGACTTCCCAAAGTGCTAAGATTACAGGCATGAGCCACCCGGCCTGGCTGCCTCCCTTAATTCTTACAAGGAATCATGACATAGGACTGTTATACATCAGTCAGAACAAATCTAATAGCAGATCACAGATCATGCATTAAGTGGATTGAACAATAAAGACAATGTATCTTCTCCCAGAATGTGATGTCTGGTGTCCATGCAGTACCAGCTGAGACCAGTGTCCCCATAAACTCTTCAGGGACCCAGGCTCTTTCCATCTCTGTGCTCCCCCATCTATGCCTCCAACTGGAGCCCTCGTGGTAACAGGGTGCTGCTGCAGCTCCAGGTATCACATGCAGTCTGAATGACATGCTGGTGGAAGGTGTCTGCTCCTGGACTGGACGTCTGTTTCTTAGAAAGTGAGCTTTTCTCCGAAGCCCGTGGTACACAGGCCCTCAGGTCTCATCTGCTAGGATTGGGGCATATGCCTCGACTTGGCCCTACAGTTCACTAGAAAGAAATTAGCCAGAGCACTCATCTTCCATGGTGGGAGTTGGACTGACTTTGCAGGCGAAAAAAGAATGGGGAAAGGCAGCAGTGGGCTTAGTTTTCCAAAATGCACACCCACATTTTACCAGTTGAAGCACAGAGATGAAAAGCATGCCCAGCATAACATTGCTGGCAGGTGGCAGCTGGAGTGACTCATAGCCGGAACACACAGCCTGACCACTATCTTCCTCACCTTTCCTACCTGGAGTATTTAAGAAATCCTTCTCTCCCTGAAAGTCATATTCCAGCATTTTCGTTTTTGAAGTTTTGGTTTTCATCCATAGAAGAAATCCTTCCTTCCCCAAGAGTCATATTTTCTAACATGTTCTTTTTGAAGTTTTGGCTTTCATACACAGTGTTAATCCATCCTGAATTGAGTGTTGAGTATGATATATGGCTGGAATCAATTTTTTTAAGGTATGGAGAAATAGTTGTCCCAGCATTATTTTTTGAATGACCCATTCTTTTCCCTTGTCTTCAAGGCCACCTGAGTCATGGAGCAAGTTTCCATTCTGTTTCATTCATCTATTTCTCTATCACTATTTCAATATCGGCCTCTCTCAATAACTAGAGCTTTGTGAACAACTCGATGTCTGGCATGCCTTCCCTACATATTCTTCTTAGACAAATATTCTTTGGAATAATTGTCTAAATTATTCTTTGTCTCTATTTTTCCATATGAGTTTTGGAATCGGTTTGTTAAGTTTCACTAGGAATGCAACACCCTGGCTGGCCCAGGATGTGCCATGGTGTTTACAACTAATTGATCACAGCGGGTTACAGATTTATGTGTTCCTTCCCCACTCCCACTGCTTCACTTGACTGGACTTAAAAAGAGAAATGCAACATCCAAAAGTAATTGTTGCAATTTCACTGAACTTCAGTAAATGTGAATACATTCTTTTTTTTTTTTTTTTTTTTTTTTTTTTTGAGGCGGAGTCTCGCTCTGTAGCCCAGGCTGGAGTGCTGTGGCCGGATCTCAGCTCACTGCAAGCTCCGCCTCCCGGGTTCACGCCATTCTCCTGCCTCTAGACTCCCGAGTAGCTGGGACTACAGGCGCCCGCCACCTCGCCCGGCTAGATTTTTGTATTTTTTAGTAGAGACGGGGTTTCACCGGGTTAGCCAGGATGGTCTCGATCTCCTGACCTCGTGATCCGCCCGTCTCGGCCTCCCAAAGTGCTGGGATTACAGGCTTGAGCCACCGCGCCCGGCCGATACATTCTTATCTTTATAATGTTGAGTCTTACATCCATGAATATAGACACATAGCTCCATTTATTCTGATCTTCTTTCATGTCCTTAACTAACGTTTCATGATTCCTTCGATACAGGTGTCATCAATATTTTCTTAGCTATGTTCCAAAGACCCATATTGGCTTGAACAGGATCTTAACAACTGTGTGATCCAATGGCCCTACTTACAGGTGGGAGACCTGGACAGCAGTTGGCTCTCAGTAGAAGATTCCATCCAAGTGCACACAGGAATGGTGGTGAATCACTGGGAGCTGTGGACATGAGAGGCAGGGGTGGTGAGGGTGCAGAGGACCTCATAGACGAAGTCATCCCCAGGAATGAGCAACACCCATCAGGGCAGAGGATGGGAGGAGGCATTCGAGGTGAGGGTGCAAGGGCCTGGCGTGCAGACCACAGGCAATGGATGAAATGAAATAAAAGTGTGGCATTCTCAAATTCTAGGGAGGCAAAACTGAGTTGACAGTTAAAATCCAGGATCGTGAAAGGGGGTGAATGTAACCTTTGGCCAATACAGACAGACCTTTTTATCAAATTGATGGAAATGGACAGAGAAAAGATGTGAACAGAGTTTGAGCATGTACTCATAATGACAAACATTGTCATCACTACTGAAAGACAAAAAACAATAATAATAATAATAATATGAATAGCAATCATGATGGCTAATGTTTACGAGCACTTAATATGTGCTAGGCCCTGTTCTAAGCTTCTTGCATGTATGAACTCACTTAGTCCTCACAATAATCTTGAGGTGGGTACCTTACCATCAGCATCTTACAGATAGAGAAACTGAGACCCAAGAAGATGGAGAACATGCCCAAGGCTACCAGCTAGTAAGAGGCAGAACTCAGGTGTGAATCAGGCATACTGGCTGCAGATTCTGTGCCATTAACCACCAGGAACCAAAGTGAGCTGTCTGTAACTGGGAATGGGAGTTAATCTCAGGGACTCTGTTCATGACCACAGGTCTCGTCTGCTGGGATTGGGGCATATGGGATTGACGCCCAAACCAATCTTTTGAAAGACATGTCAAACTGACTCCCCATCAAACATGGTAGAAATAAAAGCGACTGATCACTGGAAGCCCAGTGATTGTGGAACAGTCATCCCAGAGGTCTTCAATCAGAGGTTTGGTGACTGCTTCCGTCTGCCCGCTATTTTCTTTCCAGAAGTTACCCTGTCTCAATAAAATGCTAATGAGTTAACTGAGGTCTGAATTGCTGACTTTTGGCTCTCCTTCCAGACACCTGTGACTTGTTTTGGCCAAGAAAATGTGCATGGAAGTGACAGGTGTCACTGTGTGACTTACCACACTCCCTTTCCCCTAATGCTGTGACTGCAAAAGTATAAATAGAAGTAGAGGCTGCCTCAGCCTGGGTGTCAGAGCTGACAGTGCTTCTTAACCCACTTGCTTGATAGAAGAGCTGGCACTAGCAGAAAAACCCGAGTGACAGGAAACGTGCAGGGATGCAGAGTGGCATTGGGATAATCGAGTTCAAGGGGTTGCCCAGCTGCCAGCACCACCTCCACATGTAGGGCTAATAAAATAATTACAAAGCACGTGGATATGGTTTTCAAGGTAGTCAGAAGAAAGCAGTATGGGTGATGGAAAGGACACTGCTACCTCCAAACAGAAGCTCTGGCAATGATTCCCACCTATGCCACTAAATCAGGCAGCACTGAACTTTATTTAAAGACCAGTGGGCTGAGCACTTGCATAGGGCACACAGAGGGAAATTCAGAGTCCTTACAACAAGACCATAACCAAACCTACCAGACCCATTGAACTCTGTTTTTATTCAGCAGCAAATCAGGAGTTCCAAAGACACCAGTAATGAGGGTTTCTACTTTGAGAACCCCCAAATTCTTTGAAGATGAGTCAAGGAAAGTGGGAAACAAAGTCATAGACATACAAAGTTCCTTGTGGACCCCATTACATGAAGCTCACACGTCTTTTGCTTCTCCTGATTACAAAACAACCTCTACCTTATAAAATAATTTAAATATTTCAGAAATATGTAATGCAGAAGGTGAAGTCCCCAAAATCTAACCTACTAATGTGGTATGTGACACAACCACCTTTTTCAGCCAAAGTCCCCTCAGGCAATACAGTGGTTTTGTTACCAGTTGTAGAGTTTTCCATTGCAGACACGGAGAATTGATTGAGTCAATTTTGTACTGTATTGGCGAATAACTGAGTGTTTGCAATTCTTTTGCTTTTCCAAATAGTGAGGCATGAACAATATTGTGCCAACTTTGATGGACCTCAAACACTTTAGAAGAGATGTTTGGTGCCACCAGAGTCCTCAGAAATGATGGTTTCTCCCACTGATGGAGCACTCAATGCATGTCTTTACATAGTTGATGCATTTAGCCCTCAACCCTATGAGTTAGAAATGGTCATTATTCCCACTTCACAGATGAGAAAACTGAGGCTCAGAAAGGCTGAGAAACATGCTCTGGGGCAGAGAGCTAGTAAGTGGTGGGGGTGAGACCCGAACCCAGGCATCTGTGGAGGAATCCCCTGCACTCTTCTATGTGATTGTTGCAGCAATTCGGAGAAAAGGCAAGGAGTGGGTGGAGAGTGACAGATAGAACCTGGGGAGAGGTTAGGGACAAGCCTGGACAGAAGTACAAGCATTCACAGGAGGAAAACATTAAAGTTCGCCTTCTTTTCTGGGCTGGAAAAACAGAATGCAATAAACTATTAGGCAACAAGGCAATGGCTTGCATTATGTCCCCATCAAGAGCTTCATAAAGTCACGGCAGAGGAAAGCGGAGCCCGCTGACTTGCTGAGGGGCCCTGGGCACAGTGACAATGGAAATTAATGCCTCTTTTGCAATGCTCTGGACGTACAGGTCAGCAAAAAGGTAGGACAGCCTTGTGGTTAGTGTTTCAGCCTCCACATCTGGAAGACCAGGGCCTCAGCTTTTCCCAGAGACTAGCAGCACCTTGGAAAGTGTCATCACCTCCAGATTCCTCCCCTGTTCAATGGGGATTCCAACAATGCTTGTGACCATAAGAAGGTGCATGTGCCTCCCTTGGTACTGTGCCTGGCACCCAAGAACTAGAGATACTTTTATTATTTTCTGCCACTGGTGTTCTGCCCTCTGAAAATGCTCACCAGGCCTCGTCTCCACTTCTGTGCTTGGACATAGTGACCCTGCCCTCTTGGTCATAAGCGACTGGGTTGCAGGGCCCCTCAGAGGTGGGTCAAGAGGTTGGCTCTGCCCACTCACTTGCTGTTTGACCTTGGGCAACTGTTTCAACCCCTCTGAGCCTCAGTTTCCTTATATGGAAAATGGGGGTCATATAGACCTACATCCCCCACAGGATTGAGACAAGGATCAAATGAGTAAATGCATGAACAGCTCTTAGCATGGCAGCTGGCACATGGTCAGTAGCCTTCGATATTAACTGTTCATAATGCTCCTGATTCATTTGACTAACACTTATTTGAGTGCATATTGAATGCCACCAGGCAGTGTTCTAAATATTGCAGGCAAACCAGTGAACAAAACCAAAGTCCTGCCCTCAGGAAGACCTTATTCTGGGGGAAGCGAGGGGACAACAGCTAAATATCCACACCGTCAGGTGGGGAGCAGCATAGGAAAGGCATTAAAGCAGGGTGGGACTGCTTATTTAGGGTGACTAAGAAAGGAGGTGACACTGAGCTAGTCACTCATGTTTTTGGCTCTCCTCCCAGACATCTGTGACTTGCTTTGGCCAACAAAGTGTGCATGGAAGTGACAGGTGTCACTGTGACTTGCCACACTCCCTTTCCTCTGACGCTGTGACCGTGAAAGTGGAGCTGGAGTCTGCATCAGCCTGGGTCTCAGATCCCCCTAGAATGAGGTTGGAGGTGCTGTGTGTGTGAGGGATAAACATTTGGTGTGTCGGGCATGGAGGGCTTGGGTTGTTTGCCACTGCAGCAAAACAGAGCCTGATACAAGTCCTGTGTTTTAAGGGAACATTTGAGCAGAAACCTAATGGAAGTGAGGGGCAAGCCACAGGGCTGCGGTCGGGAGGGCGTCACAGGCAGTGGGAACAGCAGGTACGCAGGCCCTGAGACACAAGCATAGCTGGTGTCCTTGAGGACCAGCAAAGAGGCCCGTGTGGCTAGAGCTCAAGCAGAGGAGATGTCATGAGAGAATCATACATGTGCCGGGGAGAAGGGGACCTGATAAAATCCTTAGGCCGTTGCAAGGTCGATTGTAATGATTATTGGTGTTTGGGGAGGGGAATCTCCAAGCCAATCAGCCCCTCTCCTCCCAGACCTGTTTCCAGTACTGCATTTTATTTATATATATATATATTTTTTTTTTTTTTCTTTCTTTCTTTTTTTTTTTGAGACAGAGTCTCGCTCTGTCGCCCAGGCTGGAGTGCAGTGGTGCAATCTCAGCTCACTGCAAGCTCCGCCCTGGGTTCATGCCATTCTCCTGTCTAAGCCTCTCGAGTAGCTGGGACTACAGGCACCCGCAACCACGCCTGGCTAATTTTTTGTATTTTTAGTAGAGATGGGGTTTTACCGTGTTAGCCAAGATGGTCTCGATCTCCTGACCTCGTGATCCGCCCACCTTGGACTCCCAAAGCCAAAACTGCATTTCCAAAAGAGCAAGGGGAAAATGTAAGAGTCAGTGCGTACCCCCACCACCCCTACAGGCTGGGGCATCCTGGGCAATCCCTCAGCCCCCAGTGGCCCCACGGCTCCAGGGCGCCTCATCCTTGCTGGTTGGGGAACCCAGTTGGCTTCACGCTTGGCTGCAGGCCTCGTTTGTTTGGGGCTCAGACAGACTTTCTGAGCCGCGTCTGTTTACAAAGGCGACTATTGCATGTGCCTCCCAGGGCTGCTCCGTTCGTCCAAGCATCTGTTCAGCCGATTTTCTCTATTTATTTCTCCAGTAAACAACCAGGTCAAAGGCAGGGCTCTGTCATATTTCCACAAGTCCTGCTGCCTGTGCCAAGACCTAATAGGATGCAGAGATGGGGGGTGACCTGAATGCAACAGAGCGCGATGCTCTGGAATCTCCAAGCCGTATCTGAGTGCAGGCACCCACAGCACCTGGAGGTGTGGACCAAGCTGGCCACTCTCAGGGGCATCTGCTTCCTCTCTTGCTGCAGGTGGCACCCGAGTGACCCCATAAAGGACCACTCTTCACTTTCACAGTCCAGGGGGTTTCAGGGTGGGCCTGGAGCCCTCTGCCCCGCTTGCCTCCTGGAAGAAGTGCATGGCCCAGGCCCAGCCATTAAATGTATTCTCCCCACGGCTGCCCACCTTTTGTGACTGGCTTCACAGTGACCTTGTGACCCAGCTGGGCTAAGGCATGTCATCTCTAGGCATGTCATCTCTAAGACTTTTAAGAGAGCCATTGAGAGAAAGGTGGGGGTCTCTCTGCCTGGATCACTGGGATGGCAGGGTGAAGGCCAGAGTTGCTGGTGACCATCCTGGCCACCGTGTGGGGAGCCCACCTGAAAACGCAGACACACAGAAGAGGGCGAAGGGCAGAGGCGAAAGGACACAGATTTCTGAAAGTAATGCTTGAGTTCCTGGATCTAGCTCACCCTGAAGTCCCTGGATTTGGAGGATAAGTACTTTCTGCTGGTTTCCTGTCCCCTGCAATCAACAGGGCCTGACTGACTCACATACACACATCAGTTGATAGATGGATAAACGTAAGGAAGTGGGCTGCGGTGGCGGAACAAAAACTGGGCAGGATGGAACCTGCGAGAAGGCGAGTGTGTGGCAGAGGGCCAGGGGGTCTGAGAGTCACACATTTCTGGCAGCTTCCCGCCTCCCTCGGCATAAAAGCCAAAGTCCTCACCACGGCAATCAGTCCCTCCCAAGCCTCATCTCCTCCTCCTGCCCCTTGTGTCCCCTGTCCTTGTGTCCCCTGTCCTAGCCACACGACTTCTATATTTGTTTTCTATGCTGTGTAACAAATTGCCCCAGATTTAGCAGCTTAAAACAACACCTGTTTATAAGCTCATGGTTCTGTAGGTCAGAAGTCTAGTGCAGTGCGTCTGGGCTCTCTGCTCAGGCTGAAATCACGTGTTGCCAGCTATGTTCTTACCAGGAGCTGGGGTTCTCTTCTGAGCTCATTTCTCTAACTGCAGGATCCAGGTCCTTGTGGTCCCCATTTCCTTGGTGGCTTTCAGCTGGGGGCAGCTCTCAGCGCCTGGAGAGGCCACCTGCATTACTTGTCTCGTGGATTCCTCTATCTTCAGCCAGCAAGGGTCCCTGGAATCCTTTTCGTGCTTCCAAACCCTCTGACTTCCCCTGCGCCAGCCAGAGAGGATCCTCTGCTCTTAAAGGGCCCCTCTGATTAGATGAGGCCCATTAGGATCATCTTCATATCCTAAGATCAACCGACTTGGGACTTTCATTTCAACTTCAAATCCTTCGCAGCAGCCCCTGGATTCCTGTTTGGTTGGATAACCAGAGAATGAGAATCCAGAGCCAGCTCTAGAGTTCTGCCTACCAAGGCTGCCTTGGTATTCCTCAAACGCCCCAATCATGCCACCATGCAAACTTTGCATGTGCTGTTCTCTCTGCTAAAAAAGCTCTTCCTGCAGCTGGCCACGTGGCTCGCACCCTCACTATGTCCCTTCCTGTACGAATGTCCAGTTCTCTGTCCAAATGTCCCTTCCTCGAGAAGCCTCCCTTGACCTCCTCAGACAAACATCACCCTGCAGCCCCTTTTCCTGCTTGATTTTTCTCCCAGAGCTTATGTAATGTTGCATATCTATTTGCTGTCTCCCCACACTGGACCAGAAGTCCTGGGAATAGGGACTTTATTTTGTTCACAGAGCCTGGCACAAATAAGTATTTGCTGATGGAAAGAGTGAATGTAGTTCTTCAATTTCTTGGCAGTCTCAGTAGTCACTCTGGGGTCTTTTTCATGTTTATTCGTCAGCCCAGGCCCCAAGGAGGCAGAGTAAAGCTCAGGTGGAGAGCCTAGGTGTTGGAACCAGACTGCCTGGCTTCATGTTTCATGGGCCAGCCCTTTACTTCTCAAAGTCTATTTCTTCCTCTGCAAAATGGGTATCATATGGCCGGACACGGTGGCTCATGCCTGTAATCCCAGCACTTTGGGAGGCCAAGGTGGGTGGATCACAAGGTCAGGAGTTCGAGACCAGCCTGGTCAACATGGTGAAACCCTGTCTCTACTAAAATACAAAAATTAGCTGGGCGTGGTGGCGAGCACCTGTTGTCCCAGCTACTCAGGAGGCTGAGACAGAAGAATCACTTGAACCCAGGAGGCGGAGGTTGCAGTGAGCTGAGATCGTGCCATTGCACTCCAGCCTGGGCAACAGAATGAGACTCTGTCTCAAAAAAAAGGATCATATTAGTATGAACCTCACAAAGTGTCTGCAAGTGCTAAATAACATAATCCGGATAAAGTATCTGGCATCCAAATCAAAACCACAAGGTGGCATTGTGTCACACCCACCAAATGGGCAAAAAGTAAGAAATTATCAGGGCTCAGCAAAAATGATGTGGTGAAAACTCTTCCACTGGGAGTGTGCGTTGGTTCAGCTGCCTTAGAGATTCAGTTGACCAACTCCAATGGAGGTGAAGATATGCGTATCCTACGTCCTGCCCAGGAGACAAGCACAGTATTCTTTATCACAGCATTGCTGGCAATTGCATCTACCAATCCATATACTGCTTACATGAAGAAGATCTCACAATGCACACTCACAGATGCCACTAGCAACAATACGGCTTCAACCAGTTGACTACTAGGACTAGAGCAAGTACTTTACATAAATAATCCCATTTCATCTTTATTCCCATTTTACAGGTAAGAAAATGGAGGCTCAGAGAAGGATAAATCACTTCCTCAAGATTGAACAGTTGGGAAGAGGTAAAGTTCTCATTGGCATCTAGGAGTACGGGGGGAACATGGCGGGAGAGAAAGAAGAGGGGGAAATGGCAGAGCAAACAAAACGCCAACATCCACAAACCTCCGAGTGCTCTCCTCTGTAAAAAGCTCAACACTGAGCTCACCATGTGACCCAGCAATTCCACGCCTAGGTGTCTACCCAGGAGAAATAAAAACATGTATCCACACTGCAACTTGTACATGAATGTTCATAGCAGCTTTATTTATAATAACCAAAAACTGGAAACAACCCATGTCTAGCAACTGATGAACACATGAACTAAATGTGGTCTCTCCATGCAGTGGAATAGCATTTGACCAGAACAAGGAATGAAACACAGATCCATGCTACATGGCAGCATCTTGAAAACACTACACTCAGTGAGAGAAGTCAATCACAAAAGGCCACATACTATATGACTCCATTTATGTGACATGTCCAGAACAGACACATTCATAGACAGAAAGTAGATGAGTGGTTTCCAGGGGCTGGGGGAAGGGAGAATGAGGTGAGACTACTAATAAGTACAGAGTTTCTTTCCGAGGAGACAAAATGTTCCAAAATTAGATTGTGAGGACGACTGCGCAACTTTTTCAATATACCAAAAACCATTGAATTGTATAGTTTAAAAGAATGAATTTTACGATGTGTGAATTAGATCTCAATAAAGATGATTTTAAAATGTTTTCTGAGGGGCTGGGTGCAGTGGTTCATGCCTGTAACCCCAGCACTTTGGCAGGGCGAGGTAGGTGGATCACCTGAGGCCAGAAGTTTAAGACCAGCCTGGCCAATATGGTGAAACCCTGTCTCTACTAAAAATACAAAAATTAGCCAGGTGTGGTGGCCCACGTCTGTAATCCCAGCTACTCAGGAGGCTGAGGTACGAGAATTGCTTGAACCCCGGAGGTGGAGTTTGCAGTGAGACGAGATCACATCACCGTACTCCAGCCTGGGGGACAGAGCGACACTCCATCTCAATAAATAAATAAATAAATAAATAAATAAATAAATAAATAAATGTTTTCTGAGGATCTCTGGTTTTCGGAGTGTTCAGACAGTTGGTGGGGGTGGGGGACGTGTCATGAAAATATAAGGTTAGTGAATGCAAGCTAAGCAAGTCCAGCAACAGTTTTGTTACAGGTCTTCTCAGAGACTTCAATTTGTGGATATAACCAGTGATACTCCCAAAACGAGTATGTACTAATACCAGATAATGCTTATTGAGTATTCACAGTGTTCTGTCATCTACTAGCTTATTTATATGTATATTAACTAATTTACTCCTTACATTAGCCCTCTGAGATGGACACTATTATTCCACTTTACAATGGAAAAACTGTGGCACAGAGAGGTTGAGAATCCTGCCCAAGATCACACAGCTAACAAGAGGCAAAGCCAAGATCTGAACTTAAATAGCCTTGCTCTGGGATTCATGC